TCTGGGTTTTCTTTTTTTCTTACCGGGTTCTTTTTCTTGTTTTTTTCCCTGTTTTTCCCAGGGGAAAGGGGAAACAGAATTCTTCCTCCGTAAGCCATGCATTTTGAAAAGAGGGGATTTAAAATGCCGGGAGCCAAGGGCCTGAAACCCCCTTCTCCTGTATTTTATTACTAAATGTAAAAAGGAAAAACCCTTTTCATTTTTTTTTTGGGGGCCCCCCGCCTCGGTGGGATAGGGCCCGATGTGTTGAAAGAAAGAAAATAAAAAAACCCCACACCAAAAATGCGAAAAAAACTTTGAAATTTTTTTTTTAAATTAAATCACCCGGGCCCCGATTCCCCCCAAAGGGCCCGGGGGGCCCGGGAAAAAAAAAATTTTTTTTTCCACCACATTCACTCCTTCACTGTCTTCCCAAAAGGGTGTTTTACACTACGTTTTTTAAACGGAACTTTAAACACCCTCCTTCAGAGTGCGGGGCACTTTTACTTTAATCTCCAGAACTAAAAGCCCCGGCCTGGGGTTTTCCCGAATCCTTCTTTAAATGTTACTTTGCTCACACCCAAAAAGGCAGGTAAAGGTTTTTTAAAAACCATTTGTCTCCTTTCATCTATAAAACACGCTACGCATGCCTGCGGGAAAGTCCAAGCCCCCCCAACAAAAACCCTCCTTTACCCCCCCCCTCCAACCCTTCTGGCCCCGACCCCTACCCCCCCTTTCCCTTTCCCACTACGGGACTGTTACACTTTGAAGTATTCTGTTTCGCCCCATTCTCTTACATGTCCGAACCCCCTCAAAAAACCCTTCCCTCGCCCTCTGGACAAAGTTTTGGTAACCCCGCACCTCCTCCTAATTTCCCAAAATAGAATTCTCTGCTTATATTCACCCCCCAAACATTCCCCCAAACATGGACATCCCCACTGCCTCCGCCTTCCCTCGTGCAACATTCATCACCCCGTTCCCCCCATTAAGATTGGGTTTTAAAACTTTTACTCTCTTTAATTCCCCTCTTTGCCCCCAAAAGGCCAAAGGGTTCTTTGTTCCCAGCCCCAAGTGCCCCACCACCTTTTTTTTTTCATAAATTTTCTATGTTTTCCCCTCATTTTTCTAAAACCCATCCGTTTGACACGTCCACCCCCAAAATCTAAAATACTTTCCCTCCCCCCATACTCTCCCCTCCAATTGATTTTCCCAATTTTTTCATCACCAAATCTTTTTTTTTATCCTAAACCTTACTTTTTCCCTGTTTCACCTTTAATTTTTTTCTTTTGAAACCCCCTAAAAAAATTATCCCCAATCTCAACTTCTCTTCAAAAATTTCCCCAAAAAGCACAGTGTCATAGCAAAGAGCAGCTGTGAAAAACCCCCCAATTTTGTGTGTGATTTTTTATTTTTTAAAACCCCAACGCCTTTCCCAAAGGGGACCCTCGATTTACTTTCTTAAAACCCCCATTATAAATATATTAAAAAACCCCAGGTGAAACAAAAACCCTTTTTCAAAGGGCCCTACTTTTACGGGAAAAAATTTCCCTTTTTTCCTCCCTACCTAATTTGAGCCTCCTATCCTGAAAAAAAATCTTCACTGTTTTCAGAAAACACCCCCTACACCTACACTTGCAACTCTGCCACATTCCCCCCCTTATCCCCCCTGCCCTACGCCTTTTCAAATCCATAAAATGCCAAAAAAAGCCCTTCTTTACCCTTATTTAAATACTGTTCACTTTTTGTTTCACGAAAAAACCGGGTTTCCAAAACCCCCCCTCCTTACTAAAGCCCCCTTTTTTCATTGCTTTTCCTTTTCTCCATCTTCCCTTTTTAATTCTTTAAATTAAAAACTTCCCATACCCCTTTCCCAAGGTACATTTAAACCAGACTTACCCCCCTAAAATTTTTTTGCACTCTTTTTACCCCTTTCCCTTTTATAAAAAGGGAAAACTATGCATGCTCTCCCCAAACCCTGGGGTCCCTTTCCCCTCTTCCATACATTTTTTAAAATTTTAATTCCCCAAACCACCCCAAAAACTATTTTCCCCCCCTCCCTTTTAACTTTTTTAATCTTTATCCCATCCTTTTCCCGGCTGCCTTCCCCCTTTTTCCATTTTCCCAACTGCCTCACAAAATTTCCCCCCACACTCACAAGGGCTTTTCCCTCACCCCTACAAGATGTTATTCTCCTTGCCCTATACACGAAATCACAGTTTCCCCCATCTTCTTTCAACATTTAACAATTCCCCCAAAAATATTCCTTCCATTTTCCCAAATTTCCTCTAACTCCCCATTTTAAAACTCTCCCTCCTATTTTTTAAATGGGCAAATCCATTTGTTCTCTAGGCTTTCTTAACTTGTTAATCTCATCCAAAAACTTTTTCTTTTTTTCAACAAAATTTTTTGTAAAATCTCACCCACTCTTTTCCCTTTTTCTTTTTTAATTTTCTTTCACCCTATTTAAAACCTTTTCTCTTTTTCTCCCTATACTCTTCCCTCCTTTTCATCACCCCCCCCCCCCCACTTTTTTAAAAAAATTTCATATGCTAAAATTTTTCTTTCCCTTTTACTCTCTTTTACACATATTCCACCAATCGTCCCCTTCCCCCCTGGGCCCCCCCTTTCCTGTAACCCCCAAACTTCTGCTGAACCTAACACTACATTTTTTTAAACCCACCCCTACCCCTTCGACCCCATTGGCCCATGCTTTCTTAGCCCATTAAACCCCAATTTGCTGTTTATATCTTAAACCCCAATGCCCCCCTTTTAGTTTATAAACCCTTACCTCTCTCTTCCCCGATGCTTCTATTCTCCTTTTATCCATTTTACCTTTTTTCTCTCAGTGTAAACTACAACTAGAAAGTGAAACGTATATCTGTGGCCCCTCTATAAAAATGTCATCCCGAAGGGGTCAAACAGCTTTTATTACCAATACATAAACAAAAAAAATACTGTCATTTTTGGCCCCAAAAAAATTCATATCGTGTATACTTATTTATCCTCTTTTTTTTTAAAATATGTATTACCTATAACTAAACCCTTTCTATACAAAGTTCAATCAAAGGGCCCCCATTATCATTTACACCTGGCCCCCCAAACTTACCTACCACACCCTCTCTAAAAGTTTCTCCTACTTTAGCATTCAGTCCCTCCCACAATTTACTCTCTCACTTGGTTCAAAGGCTCCTATACATGCACTTAACATCTCCAAAATCTCTCTCTCTCCTCTGCATTCCTCTCTTCTCAGGTGCATACACGCTTATTATGACCCACTTCTCGCATCCAACCTTTACTTTAATCCACATAATTCTTGAATTTACACATTCATATTCTCTTTTCTCCTTCCATAACTGATCATTTAACATTACTGCTACCCCTTCCTTTGCTCTAACTCTCTCAGATACTCCAGATTTAATCCCATTTATTTCCCCCCACTGAAACTCTCCTACCCCCTTCAGCTTTGTTTCGCTTAGGGCCAGGACATGAAATAAATTACAGAAAAGTTCTGGCAGGTCATGTTTGGTTGACTACCGAGCAAATGGTTGACTACCGAGCGATTTGCTTACCAAACAAAGCATTCAAATACTGAACTGTTTGAGCAAGGAGCTGTTTGAATACCAAGGTTCCACTGTATATGCATAAATATATATCACCTACCATCAGACTTACGACCTGCTCGACTTACAATCGTTTTTTTATGCCAAATTTCTGGGAAATAAACAACTATTTGTGTTGTACACAGTATTTATCCTAAACCTTAAAGTATAAAATTCAGTACTAACAGCATCAAAAAGTAAAGTAAAGCATGAAATACCATAATAAAGATATAAAATAAAGTCATTACAAAAATGCAATGTTGATATTCATTAGTAGATTTCGACTTTACGTCCATTTTGACTTACGACCGGTTTCTCGGAACCGAACTCGGTCGTAAGTCGGATGGTAGGTGTATTCCTAAATAAAAGGTGAAGTTCTGCTAGTTTTTTTTTATTTTTTTTGTACTCCCCTATATGTACTCTAATATGTGTAGTTGCAAGAGTCAAGTCTTAGCTCTTGGCCCTGCCTCTCAACTCTCCGCTTACCAGATTCACTCTCCTAGCCTCTTAGGCCCTCTTGTGTCTGCTTTTAGAACTGGAATTGGCCTTCATTACTTCTTGGTTCAGGTTATTCTGCTTTCCGACCGCCCTGATGCTGCCCTACTATCAGTTATTTTGATCTTATTTGCGTGTTCGTAGAGGGAGGGGGTAAAGGAGGTCTTTGTATGCAAGGGGCTTGGACATACAGCAGGCATATGTGAACGTGTTAGATAGGAGTGAATGGAGACGAATGGTTTTTGGGACCGGACAAGCTGTTGGAGTGTGAGCAGGGTAATACAGTGGAACCTCAAATATCGAACTGCTCCCAACTCAACCAGTTGTGTAAGTGTATTTTTGTGTGTGCTTTTATAAGTGTATTTTTGAGGGTCTGAAATGAACTAATCTAATTTACATTATTCCCGATGGGAATAAATTCGTTCGGTAACGGCACTCAAACATGGAAGGATTGAGCTGGACATGAGTCCTGGAGGTGGGAAGTACAATGCCTGCACTTTAAAGGTGGGGTTCGGGATATTAGCTGTTTGGTCATCTAAACTGTCGTTACTATTTACCTCTGGCAAGACAGTGATAGTGTGAATGATGGTGAAAGTTTCTTTTTTGGGTCACTCTGCCTTGGTGGGTGATGGCCAGTGTGTTAAAAACAATGTATTTATGGGTAATTTATACAATTATCATCATTTTTCCCTGTTCTTATTTCAGAGGTTTGTTCCTATGAGAAAAAGCAAAATATCTTTAGACAAAGCCAGCTTTAAAAAGGTTTATATATTTTTCTATTTTTTTTTTCTTTCAACATGCAGGGTGACCCAAAAAAGAAGAAATGCTTTCACCATCAATCACACCATCACTATCTTGCCAGAGGCGCACAGTTACGACATTGCCCAATTTATACAATGATGATAATTATTTCTGCTCTCCTTACAGAGGTTTTTATCCTGTGGGAAAAGGTGAAATATCGTTAGATGTAAAACCAGCTTTAAAAGGCCTCTATGCAGCGGACTTTACGGATTTCGGCGAACTTGTATCAGTGCATGGAAGAGCGTATGTTTCCGGGGCCCTTCCTGTCAAGGTAATACCTTTTTTTTACACTTGTTAACGTGTTTTTTTTTTTTACGTTTTACACTTTTTTTTTTTTTTGCATGTTTTTACTTTTTATTTACACATTTGTTTTTTACACTTTATGCATGTTTTATGCTTTATTTACACTTGTTTTTATATTTTATTTACATATTTGATTTTATACTTCACACATTTGTTTTTATACCGTACATGTCTATTTGCTTAACCCTTTTTGGGGTCAGTGCTGTAGTTGTACACCATGCCTAGCATGGGCCAGTAGGCTTGCTGCAGTGCTTAAGTGAGTGTGACTTGGACCTGCCTAGCATGGGCCAGTAGGCCTGCTGCAGTGCTTGAGTGAGTGTGACTTGGACCTGCCTAGCATGGGCCAGTAGGCCTGCTGCAGTGCTTGAGTGAGTGTGACTTGGACCTGCCTAGCATTGGCCAGTAGGCCATGCTGCAGTGCTTGAGTGAGTGTGACTTGAACCTGCCAAGCATGAGCCAGTAGGCCTGCTGCAGTGCTTGAGTGAGTGTGACTTGGACCTGCCTAGCATTGGCCAGTAGGCCTGCTGCAGTGCTTGAGTGAGTGTGACTTGAACCTGCCAAGCATGAGCCAGTAGGCCTGCTGCAGTGCTTGAGTGAGTGTGACTTGGACCTGCCAAGCATGGGCCAGTAGGCCTGCTGCAGTGCTTAAGTGAGTGTGATTTAGACCTGCCAAGCATGGGCCAGTAGGCCTGCCGCAGTGCTTGAGCGAGTGTGACTTGGACCTGCCTAGCATGGGCCAGTAGGCCTGCTGCAGTGCTTGAGTGAGTGTGACTTGGACCTGCCTAGCATTGGCCAATAGGCCTGCTGCAGTGCTTGAGTGTGACTTGGACCTGCTAAGCATGAGCCAGTAGGCCTGCTGCAGTGCTTGAGTGAGTGTGACTTGGACCTGCCTAGCATGGGCCAGTAGGCCTGCTGCAGTGCTTGAGTGAGTGTGACTTGGACCTGCCAAGCATGGGCCAGTAGGCCTGCTGCAGTGCTTGAGTGAGTGTGACTTGGACCTGCCAAGCATGGGCCAATAGGCTTGCTGCAGTGCTTGAGTGAGTGTGACTTGGACCTGCCAAGCATGGGCCAGTAGGCCTGCTGCAGTGCTTAAGCGAGTGTGGCTTGGACCTGCCAAGCATGGGCCAGTAGGCCTGCTGCAGTGCTTGAGTGAGTGTGACTTGGACCTGCCAAGCATGAGCCAGTAGGCCTGCTGCAGTGCTTAAGTGAGTGTGATTTAGACCTGCCAAGCATGGGCCAGTAGGCCTGCTGCAGTGCTCCTTATGATCTTACAAAATTCTTACATTCATTGTACACTTACCTTTTTTTTTTTTACCTTTCAAAGAATTATTTCTTAGAAGTAGAGTGTATTATGGTATAAACCTTGGTAATAAAAACCAACAAGTTGGTTTAGAAAGACACTAAGCAAACACTATGACATATTAGAAAATATATTAGTGTTTACTTACAGAGGCATCGCTAGAGTTGGTGTCACCCGGGGCGGAATCTCCGGTGTCACCCGAGGCGGAATCTCCGGTGTCACCCGGGGCGGAATCTCCGGTGTCACCCGGGGCGGAATCTCCGGTGTCACCCGGGGCGGAATCTCCGGTGTCACCCGGGGCGGAATCTCCGGTGTCACCCGGGGCGGAATCTCCGGTGTCACCCGGGGCGGAATCTCCGGTGTCACCGGGGGGGAATCTCCGGTGTCACCGGGGCGGAATCTCCGGTGTCACCCGGGGAGGAATCTCCGGTGTCACCCGGGGCGGAATCTCCGGTGTCACCCGGGGCGGAATCTCCGGTGTCACCCAGGGTGGCATGTTTGGTGTCACCCCCATGTAATTCAAGGGCGGGGGGATGGGGGGGGTAAACTGCAGTTATGTCACTACTACATGACCAGTGACAAATGTTTAGCAATAAGAACGTTTAAGGGGCATAAACTGAACAGGAGAATATTTCTCAACTTTATTAATGATAAAATATATAATGGTAATAATATTGAGGAAACATAAACTCAAATACCACTTTGAGTACAGCCAACAGATCCTATATTTATTCATCAACAATGCAAAAACTTAAAAATAAAAGATTTGAAAAATAAAGAAAAACATTGCAATATCAGAGAGACACTAGTTCCGATATGACCTTGAGTACAGGTAACATCACAGTAAATCTGATATTACATTTCCTTGCCTTCAATTATGCAAAATCATCTATCACATCATCAAAATCAACGAAGGATTCTTCTCTTATGTTGGTGCACCCCTCATGGAAGGTTCCTTGATGTTGGTGAGGGGCTCTTGATTTAGGGAATTGGATCTGTGCTCCAGTTCCCCGAATTAAGCCTGAATGCCTTCCACATCCCCCCCCCCAGGTGCTGTATAATCCTATGGGTTTAGCGCTTCCCCCTTGATTATAATAATAATATGTTGGTGCAGCACTGTTTTGTGCATTAGTGTTACCTTCTTTAGAGGCTCTATGGTGTCACCCCCTAAATGGTGCCACCCGGGGCGGCCCGCCCTTGCCCCCCCCTTACGACGCCTCTGTTTACTTACATGTTTTTCTAATCCAACATTGTATTATACAATTATCCTGACTGACATATATAAACTAATTTATAGAAAGCCCTTTATTATTCAGGCCTTTTAGATACCCTTAAAACTAAATTACTATTACTAGTACTATTACTATTACTAGGACCCTTGACTAACGATCAGCTTCCAACTCGACCAGTTATGTAAGTGTATTTTTGTAAGTGCTTTTGTGGGTCTGAAACTTACTAATCTATTTCACAATATTCCTTATGGGAACAAATTCAGTCGGTAACGGCACCTGAACAGACATCTGAAATGAAATAATATCGTTAGTTGAGGGTCCACTGTATATGAGAATAAGAATACAGCCTCTATTCACTTAACGACGGGGTTGTGTTCCTAAGAGTAGGTCAGTAAACAAATTGATCGTTAAGCGAGGAGCATACTGTACTGGTAGTGGGTTTGTGTCAACCATCTTCACAATTTTTTTGTCACCGTTTATAACATTTTTAGTATATTTTTAAATGTTTATGAAGTGGTGTACTATTTTTTTATTATTTTTAACACACTGGCCAATTCCCACCAAGGCAGGGTGGCCCACCAAGGCAGGGTGGCCCACCAAGGCAGGGTGGCCACCAAGGCAGGGTGGCCCACCAAGGCAGGGTAGTCCACCAAGGCAGGGTGGTCCATCAAGGCAGGGTGGCCACCAAGGCAGGGTGGCCCGAAAAAGAAAAACTTCCACCATCATTCACTCCATCACTGTCTTGCCAGAAGGGTGCTTTACACTACAGTTTTTAAACTGCAACATTAACACCCCTCCTTCAGAGTGCAGGCACTGTACTTCCCATCTCCAGGACTCAAGTCCTGCCTGCCGGTTTCCCTGAATCCCTTCATAAATGTTACTTTGCTCACACTCCAACAGCACGTCAAGTATTAAAAACCATTTGTCTCCATTCACTCCTATCAAACACGCTCACGAATGCCTGCTGGAAGTCCAAGCCCCTCGCACACAAAACCTCCTTTACCCCCTCCCTCCAACCTTTCCTAGGCCGACCCCTACCCCGCCTTCCTTCCACTACAGACTGGTGTACTATGTACTATATACTGCAATAAGCAGAATAGAGGAAATCAACTCTAACATATATTGTTTAGGTTTGCATACTAGTTGGAGAGCTGGTCGTAAGTCCGAGCGGTTGGTAAATGAGTACGTCACTGAGTGACTAGAGGCTGTACATAGTATTTATTACGTCGGAGGTATTTAGTAATTCAGTAAAAAAAAAAAAGGAGATTTAAATTGTTTTTAGAATGGATAGATTATTTGTAAAAATAGTTCTTTTATTGTATAATGTATTTTTGTTTATATTTGATGTTCAGTATATTACATGAAACTAATTTGATCAGTTAGACACCTGGGTACAGTAGGGCCCCACTTACACGGCAGGTTAGGTTCCAGGCTACCACCAGAAGGTGGGACCCTACTGTATCTTTATTTTGGAAATGTTTTACCAGCCAGTGGCTTCTTCAGCCAGGGCCAGGAGCTATGACTTGACCCTTGCAACCACAATTAGGTGAGTGAGTACGGAGAAGAGTGGTTGGTGGACTGGTCACATCGACTCCAGGCTGAGAGACTGATTACTTCAAACTCCTGATCTTCAACCATTTCTTTCTGCATTGGACTGAGGAAGCCAGTGGCTAGTGAAACATTTCCATAAGATACCCAAGTGTTGCACAAGTGCCCCGTGGCCTGGTGGCTAAAGCTCATGCTTCACACGGCTAGGGTCTGGGTTCAATTCCCAGCGAGGGTAGAAACATGGGCGTTTCCTTACACTGGTTGTCTATGTTCCCCATCAGTAAAATGGGTACCTGGGAGTTGGTGGACTGGTGTGGGTCACATCCTGGGACAAAACTGACCTAATTTGCGGGAAATGCTCTGCATAACAAGCTGCTTTCTATACAGTAGTATGTCATTGATGTCAGCTATGGTCTGTATACCTTGTACATGTAGTAAATAAAGATACAGTGGACCCCCGGTTAACAATATTATTTCATTCCAGAAGTATGTTCAGGTGCCAGTACTGACCGAATTTGTTCCCATAAGGAATATTGTGAAGTAGATTAGTCCATTTCAGACCCCCAAACATACACGTACAAATGCACTTACATAAATACACTTACATAATTGGTCGCATTGGGAGGTGATTGTTAAACGGGGGTCCACTGTATTATATTATTATTTATCCTGTTTGTTCTCTGAACCATTTATCTACATGAGACTATATTCTTCATTCCAGATAGCACACAAGATGGCCGACTCTGCCGAACAACTTTTAAGAGAAAAACTGCCCAGAGATGTTGATATTTTCATCGAGCGAATCAAGGAGCATCCCGAGAGAGCTGTAGGCAATGGTTCAGGCATCGTGTAAGTGAAATAACTAAGAAATATGTTAAAATTAAATCTAAATGGTGCTCTGGTAATAATAGTCACTCTGCTATTATTTTTTTTTTTTTTGGGTCAAGGTGTTGCTCTGTGCAGGTGCTCCTTGACTTATGATGGTTTGACTTACAATATTTCAACTCTATGATGGTGCAGGAGCAATTACGGGCAATCCTCACATAACCAAGTTCCGTTCCATATATCATTCTTTCCTCCTCCCTCTTCCTCTTTCAAGCTGCTGCACTTCCAACTCTACTAAATCTTCATTAGTTAACTCTCCTTTGATATATTCCACTAATTCTTAAATATCTTCAACTTCAACCGACTGGTTAGAGAGCTGGTCGTCAGTCCGTATGGTTGCTAAACAGGTAGGTTGTTAAATGAGGAGTGTCTGTACTTTGAAGATGAGGCTTAACCCAGCACGCTACCTTCATGCTGGGTAATTATCTTTAGTTTCGTATCCAAAGTAATTGATTTTGTACATTTGTAAAGTCACAATATCGTAAGCTGAGGAGTACCTGTACAGTAGGACCCCCATATCTGTGGGGGATATGTTCCCAGAACCTGTTGTGGATACCAAAACTGTGGATGGTAGTGAACCGTACATATATGTCCTATATGTACCTATTATAAAGTTTAATTGACAAATTATGCACAGCAAGTGGAGAATGATCAATTTTTCACTGATGGGAAGCACTTCACAGTTTCTTTTAGGCTTTGAAGAACTGCCACAGTCACTACTTTTGCACTTTGGTGTCATTATTAAGAGCTATTTTTGGGCCACGGATAACTGAAACCATGGAAACCAAATCTGGGGATACGGGGATTCTTTTTTTTTTTTTTTTTTTTCAACAAGTCTGCCGTCTCCCACTGAGGCAGGGTGACCCACCGAGGCAGGGTGACCCACAGAGGCAGGGTGACCCACCGAGGCAGGGTGACCCACCGAGGCAGGGTGACCCAAAAAGAAAATACTTTCATCATCATTCAACACTTTCACCACACTCACACATAATCACTGTTTTTGCAGAGGTGCTCAGAATACAACAGTTTAGAAGCATATACATATAAAGATACACAACATATCCCTCCAAACTGCCAATATCCCATATATTCTGTTTAGAAACTAGTCTTTTATTTAATATTTTTAATTCTCGTCAGGTTGTGGGCGGAAACGGACTCTGGGTGTGTGCTCGGTGGGTCTGCTCTAGGGAAGAAAGGAAGAGATGCAGAGGAGGATGGACTGCTTGCAGCGAAGGAAATTCTGGAGAGTGTGGAGAGACGTGCTTGCTTGGACAAGTATGCACAAGATCAGGTCAGTCTGCCTTGAAACACTTTATAATTGTATTATAATTGTTAGTAAGATTGTATGATGGAGTGAATGATGATGAAAGTTTTTCTTTTTCAGGCAACCCTGCCTTGGTGGGAAACGGCCGATATGTTAATAAAAAAAAATAACGAGATTGTATTATAATTGTATGAAATGTCATGTCTAAGGGCAGTGTGTGGTGTAAATATTATGCAAAGAATTCGTAGTGTGGAAATTAGGAGGAGGTGCGGAGTTACTAAAAGTGTTAGTCAAGAGGGCTGAAGAAGGGTTGTTGAGGTGGTTTAGTCATTTAGAGATGATGGAGCAAAATAGAATGACCTGGAGGGTGTATAAGTCTGTAGTGGAAGAAAGGAGAGGTAGGGGTCAGCCTGGGAAAGGTTGGAGGGAGGGGGTAAAGGAGGTGTTGTGTGCAATTGGCTTTGACATACCACAGGCATGTGTGAGCTTGTTAGATAGGAGTGAATGGAGACAAATGGTTTTTGGGACCTGACGAGATGTTGGAGTGTGAGCTGGAGTTAAGGCTTTGTGGGTAATATTTCCCACAAGCTCTCAGGATTGGCCCATGAACCTTGTAAACAAGCAATGGAATGGGTGAGGTTCGACTCCATGGTAAGTGAGTCATAAGGTCCAGGCCAGTGCATAAGCCACTTGGCCAGCTGGTTTGTTTGCAGACATTTTGTGAGTCACAATCCTTATAGTTTTCCAGTTATTTTCCCATAGCAATTATGAAGAATCCTTAAGAATTTTGAAAGTCTTCTCATATATATTTCCCTATTTCTGGAGTGTGTTTATTTGTACCTATTATCTGCATGTCTCTGGCAAGACAGTGATAGTGTGAATGATGGTGAAAGTGTTGTTTTTCTGGGCGCCATACCTCAGTGGGAGATGACTAGTGTGTTGATTAAATAACAAAAAAAGGCACAATACCGTGACTGGAACGATACACAAATAACCCGCACATAAAAGAGAGAAGCTTACGACGACGTTTCGGTCCGACTTGGACCATTTACAAAGTCACAATGTGACTTTGTAAATGGTCCAAGTCGGACCGAAATGTTGTCGTAAGCTTCTCTCTTTTATGTGCGGGTTATTTGTATATAGTGTGTTGATTTTTTTTTCCCCAAAACTTTTATCAAGCATCTCATATATTTTTGTTATTTTTTATCAGGTGATTCTATTTATGGCATTGGCGGAGGGTAAATCCAGGATCCGCACGGGACCCCTTACTGATCACACCAAAACAGCAATGTGGGTTGCAAAACTCCTGACCAAGGTGAGGCTAAAACCTAAGGAACATTTATATGAATTTTAGTAAACATTATTCAATACTGTAAGTGTACTGTATTTCGCGGCTTATTAGACGCATTTTTTTTTTTTTCCTTAAAATGTCTCCAAAAACCAGCCTGCGTTTTACAAACTGAAGGTCAGTGACGGGAGCTATAAGTTTGGGGTGGGTTGTAGCTCTCCCAGTTATGTCCGATGCCGAGTCATTGAAACTAAAACTAGTCTTATAAGCTACGAAATATGGTACATACAGATGCTCCTTGACTTACGATGGTTCAACTTACGATATTTCAATTTTACGATGGTGCGGCAGCAATTACTTTGGAGCTGAAACTTAAGATAATTACCCAACATGAAGGTGACAGGTCTCTAACTTGTATTTATTTATTTACTTTTCAATATTGGTACATAGTTACAGTAATTGTTTGCTGTAGTACTATGGCTTTGAGTTTTATGTCTGTGCTGTAGAACCAGGTGATGAGCTCAGCTCACTCAGATAAGATGATGAGCTCAGCTCACTCAGATAAGGTGATGAGGTCAGCTCACTCAGATAAGGTGATGAGCTCAGCTCACTCATAAGGTGATGAGCTCAGCTCACTCAGATAAGGTGATGAGCTCAGCTCACTCAGATAAGGTGATGAGCTCAGCTCACTCAGATAAGGTGATGAGGTCAGCTCACTCAGATAAGGTGATGAGCTCAGCTCACTCATAAGGTGATGAGCTCAGCTCACTCAGATAAGATGATGAGCTCAGCTCACTCAGATAAGGTGATGAGCTCAGCTCACTCAGATAAAGTGTGAGAGGCAAATTTAGGCCTAGATATGAGAGAATGGGTCTTTGTGGTAAGTTTTGACCATACAAAAAAATCCTCTAGTACCCAAATACGTGACGGGAAAAAAACTGCGACCATGTTATTGTTTTCAGACCTGATCTAAGGAGCCTGAGCTATCCCCCCCCTTGGATCAAGCCTAATTATCTCCCATTCCCCAGGTGCTGTATGACTCCTATGGGTTTAGCACTCTCCACACAAAAAACAGTCAGAACGTGCCATTTCCATGTATTATTTAATGTATTAATGTACATGTGTTAACTCCTTGAAAGTCCAGACCGCTGATCTGAAACTTGCCCACACGGCCCAAGAATTAAAAAAAAAATGTTATTTGGTTTGCGTGCAGCCAGCAGCAACAGCCTGGTTGATCAGGGGCTGATCCACCAGGAGGCCTGGTCACAGACCGGGCCGCGGGGGCGTTGACCCCCGAAACTCTCTCCAGGTAAACTCCAGGTATGAAACGGTAGAGAATCTTCTGAAACTAATAAAACAAAAAGTACAAAACTTGATAGAAAATTAACGAAGTTACGCTATCACAAATTTTGTTGTGTCAGGGTTATTTATGCATCAACGATTTTGCCCATTTTGACTCCTATTTTAGGCCAATTGTATTGCTCTAGCCGGCCAAATCCTTAACTGTTTCGCTAATATTACTTCTATTTTATCGATTGATCACAAGAAACTGCCCAATCAACTGTTTCAACTAGCGTATAAAGTGATCAGAAATTGGTAATTTGGGTAATTTCACAAAAATTTCAAAATAGTGTCAGAATAAACAATGCAGACATTCCCGGCACTAAAATAACATTTACTTTGTTTATTAGTTATGTTTCGAGGCTTTACACATGAATTCCATTTGGATTTTTTATTCACATAATGAATTTTTATTCACACCAAAAAATAGAAGATTTACTGTAATGCAGTATCGTAATAATTGTATAAATAATATCAGGGCATTCGTGAATGCCTTTTAGACCCACCAGTTCACATTTATTGCATGCGTGATGTGATTTGTTTACTCTTGAACATCGGCAAAAATCAGACATTTCCGCTAATTTGAGCTCAGTTTCAAGGTATTTCCAGTCCTAAAGACAAATCATTTCTAGTTCTGTAATAAATCTTCCATTCTATCAAATGAGACCAAGAAACTGCAACTACAACATAGAAACCACATGAAAATACACTGCAAAGTTGCTGTTTTAAGCCAAAATCACTGTTGAAGTTTTCTTCCCTCATGCACTGTGTGCTGCAGGATATTTTTATATGGTCCACATTTACTGCGTAGACCCATTCTCTCGTATCTAGGCCAGATTTACCGCTCGCAGCTTATCTGAATGAGCTGAACTCATCGTGTAGTACTACGGCACAGTCTCTGGTTTTAAACCTGTGTAACAACTGCATGGACCCTCAAAGGGTTAATATGCAGGCATGTGTAAGCATGTTAGGAGTGGGTGGAGACGAATGGTTTTTTGGGACTTGTTGGAGTGTGAGCAAGGTAATATTTTGTGAAGGGATTCAGGGAAACTGGTTAGCTGACTTGAGCCCTGGAAGTGGGAAGTACAGTTCCTACACTTTAAAGGAAGGGTTTGGCAGGACTAAATATATAAATCAGATGTATCAAATCAAGTCCTGGTCTCAGACCGGGCCACGGGGGGCATTGACCCCCGAAACCCTCTCCAGGTATTTGTTTCCTAGAGTGACATCTGAACTGTTGTATCTGTGCACCTCTGGCAAGACAGTGGGAGATGGTCAGTATGTTGAAAAAAAAAAAATGAGTCTATATTGTGCTTATATATTGTTTCCTCTACAGGTTGAATTCAGCATCACCGAAGAAGAAGGCAGTGACTGTATATATTTGGAGTGTGAAGGCATTGGTCACACCCCAATGAAAAGAAAATAATAGAATAGTTAGCTGATTATCTACATTGTTAAACACTCGATGGAAATCTCTCATTATAGCATCAATTTTGAATTCCATCATCACTATGAATGTTCCTATACACTGTGTATATATATCTATGTATATATAACATATATATTGTATGGTTGAATTTGGTAAATGTTCTCTTGCAAGATTATTTCTCTGTTTAAGGAGTTTTTTCCATCCTGAAATCTCAAAATAGTCAAGTGCAAAAGCCTTTTAAATAATTCAATTGTTGTATGTTCTTATTCAGTTATTGTATGTTCTAATTCACTTGTTGTATGTTGTTCTAATTCACTTATTGTATGTTGTTATAATACAATTCCTGTATATTGTTATTATACAATAGGTCATCTTCCAGAGAAGGATGACCCATACAGTGCCTAGGGTATGGTGGGTAATCAGCTTTGATTCAAGGAAAGGGATGATATAGCTACTTCCTTGGATCAAGAGCCTGTTACTGGCATAAGGTAGCCCTCCTTGAAGGGTGGTTGGTCATGTAAGTATTTTGAGTGTTTATTGAGATTTCTGTGTAGAGAGAAACTCCTAAACTGCTGTTTTCGTTCTTCCAAAAATTCTATGTCAATTTTATATTAATACTGATCAGAGATTATCCATTTCCTTTGGGAAAAGATTCACCAGATTTTTGACAGCCTGGATAATCACATTCTTTTGTGGTATCCTTGTTTAGCATTTCTTATTTGGGGTGCTAGATCAAACAAGGCCGTCAGATAATATTGGTAGCCAGAAAACCGAATCCAGGATAATCTACGATCTGTATTTATTATTGTTTCATTAAGTTTCTTTTATTATAAACACTGGCTGTGGTAATATGCACATACTTTTACCTTCGATGAATTTCAGGAGTATCTCTCTGCCCCCCCCGAGGCCAGCCCTGGACCAGGCTCATATGGTCTAGAGCCTCTCAACTTTTCTTATGTGCTTGACTCAAGATTAAACGGTAATCATGTATAGTTCTTTCTACTTAGGATTATTATTTTTTCTTAGATGTGAAGTGTTTGTAGATTGTAATAATGCAAGCCAAAAGTATTTCCCGGTACCGTAAATTGCTTTAAACACTGGGTGTAGCAAGGACAGTACAGTGCTCTCTCAGTACCCACTAATGATCCACTCTGTAAGAAGCTTGTGTATGAATGAATTTGTTGATTTAAAGACACATAAGCAAACACTAGGACATACTTATTAGGAAACGTTTTGGTCCTGGGACCTTCTTCATTTCTAACGCATAGAGTTTATAATAGGACATACTTATTAGGAAACGTTTTGGTCCTGGGACCTTCTTCATTTCTAACGCATAGAGTTTATAAATAACAGTATATATAGGAGATAAGTGGGGTGTAAGTGACTCATGGTGACCTGAAAAATGCAAGTGACTTGTAAAACACCAAGTGTCACACTCCACTCTCCTATATTTTTTTTTTAACACTGGCTATATCCCACCGAGGCAGGATGACCTAAAAACAAAAATGAAAATTTTACTTTCGTATACAGGAGAAGGGGTTACTAGCCTCTTGCTCCCGGCATTTTAGTCGCCCCTTACGTCATGCAAGGCTTATGGAGGAAATATTCTGTTCCACTTCCCCATAGAGTTCCATCTATATATACTATCATTTCAAACCATGTTAGAAGTGATTAAGGTCCCAGGACCAAATTATTCTCTTTTCAAACCATGTTAGAAGTGATTAAGGTCCCAGGACCAAATTATTTTCTTTTCAAACCATGTTAGAAGTGATTAAGGTCCCAGGACCAAATTATTCTCTTTTCAAACCATGTTAGAAGTGATTAAGGTCCCAGGACCAAATTATTCTCTTTTCAAACCATGTTAGAAGTGATTAAGGTCCCAGGACCAAATTATTCTCTAATAAATATGCCCTAGTGTTTGCTCACATGCCTTTTTAAACCAATTTGTTAATAATTACCAAAATTTATACTAATTTGTTAATGCAAAACTTGAGTGCCAATTGGAAATTTGGAAGATATGTTAGTACTCAGAGTACATGTATTATGTTAAAATTTTCTGCTATTTTGGAACGACTAGCAAAATATACATAGATGAGGATGTGGAAAAGGCATAATAATACAGATGAAGATATAGAGAAGGTACAGGAACGGATGAGGATACAAAAGAGGTATAATAACGTAGGCAAGTTGCACATCTTTGCGAGTAACAAAAAAAACTGAACACAAAACAACACTTGTAGGTAACAGTAGAACAAAACAATTGTAAGTAACAATAGAACATAAAACTTGAGTAACAAAGAATAGATCATGAAACTTGAGTAACAAAGAATAGAACATAAAACTTGAGTAACAAACAATAGATCATGAAACTTGAGTAACAAAGAATAGATCATGAAACTTGAGTAACAAACAATAGATCATAAAACTTGAGTAACAAACAATAGAACATAAAACTTGAGTAACAAAGAATAGATCATGAAACTTGAGTAACAAACAATAGATCATAAAACTTGAGTAACAAACAATAGATCATGAAACTTGAGTAACAAACAATAGATCATGAAACTTGAGTAACAAAGAATAGATCATGAAACTTGAGTAACAAACAATAGATCATGAAACTTGAGTAACAAACAATAGATCATAAAACTTGAGTAACAAACAATAGATCATGAAACTTGAGTAACAAACAATAGATCATAAAACTTGAGTAACAAACAATAGATCATGAAACTTGAGTAACAAACAATAGATCATGAAACTTGAGTAACAAACAATAGATCATGAAACTTGAGTAACAAACAATAGATCATGAAACTTGAGTAACAAAGAATAGATCATGAAACTTGAGTAACAAACAATAGATCATAAAACTTGAGTAACAAACAATAGATCATGAAACTTGAGTAACAAACAATAGATCATGAAACTTGAGTAACAAAGAATAGATCATGAAACTTGAGTAACAAACAATAGATCATGAAACTTGAGTAACAAACAATAGATCATAAAACTTGAGTAACAAACAATAGATCATGAAACTTGAGTAACAAACAATAGATCATAAAACTTGAGTAACAAACAATAGATCATGAAACTTGAGTAACAAACAATAGATCATGAAACTTGAGTAAAAGACAATAGATCATAAAAATATGTTCATAAGGTTGATCTTTATGGGTTTAGCACTAAGTTATGATTATAATAATAATGAAAATGTTTATAAGGTGACTCTCCGAAGTGCCGGTGTTTGTTGAGTTGTCTAAATGATGATTGTTCTCAATACAGTTATTATATTGTAAATTAGACATCTTAATTCATAAATGTTTTATCTACATGGTAGGTTTCTTCAGTCAAATACAGAGGCAGCAGAGATGTAAAGATGATATTAGCAGTCCATCACCCTTGAAGGTGTAGTTTTGAGGTGGTCAGTCCCTCTGCAGAACTGGAACAGTGTTCCAGACTATGGAACAGAACTGGAACAGTGTTCCAGACTATGGAACAGAACTGGAACAGTGTTCCAGACTATGGAACAGAACTGGAACAGTGTTCCAGACTATGGAACAGAACTGGAACAGTGTTCCAGACTATGGAACAGAACTGGAACAGTGTTCCAGACTATGGAACAGAACTGGAACAGTGTTCCAGACTATGGAACAGAACTGGAACAGTGTTCCAGACTATGGAACAGAACTGGAACAGTTTCCAGACTATGGAACAGAACTGGAACAGTGTTCCAGACTATGGAACAGAACTGGAACAGTGTTCCAGACTATGGAACAGAACTGGAACAGTGTTCCAGACTATGGAACAGAACTGGAACAGTGTTCCAGACTATGGAACAGAACTGGAACAGTGTTCCAGACTATGGAACAGAACTGGAACAGTGTTCAGACTATGGAACAGAACTGGAACAGTGTTCAGACTATGGAACAGAACTGGAACAGTGTTCCAGACTATGGAACAGAACTGGAACAGTGTTCCAGACTATGGAACAGAACTGGAACAGTGTTCCAGACTATGGAACAGAACTGGAACAGTGTTCCAGACTATGGAACAGAACTGGAACAGTGTTCCAGACTATGGAACAGAACTGGAACAGTGTTCCAGACTATGGAACAGAACTGGAACAGTGTTCCAGACTATGGAACAGAACTGGAACAGTGTTCCAGACTATGGAACAGAACTGGAACAGTGTTCCAGACTATGGAACAGAACTGGAACAGTGTTCCAGACTATGGAACAGTGTTCCAGACTATGGAACAGAACTGGAACAGTGTTCCAGACTATGGAACAACTGGAACAGTGTTCCAGACTATGGAACAACTGGAACAGTGTTCCAGACTATGGAGCAGTACTCTTCTCCAGACTGAGGGACTGACCACCTCAATGCAATGTTTTCAAGGGTGACAGACTGATTATATCGTCTTTTCATCTCTACTGCCTCTGTATTTGACTAAAGAAGCTTAATGCATAGTTAAAACATTTCAGAATAAAGATTCCCAACTATTACACATGTCATGTCAACTTGCCAGTATTGTATACCATTATCATGTACCGTATACGTGGAGGGTGATCTTGGGGGGCAGTGCCCCCCATGACCCGGTTGAAGGTTAAAAAATAAAATCCAATTTTGCCAGAACATAATGTGTATCTTAGATATTTGATACATAACATTCTCTATGTATACTTAACAATAAAGAGTATATTTCAGAAACGTTTGAAATAGAGTATATTAAAAATGCACGAAATATATGCTGTATGGAATGTAAGAAATATATATATGATGGTAATAGAAAGTTTATATTTTCCCTCATATGTTGTCTTACTTGGTACATTTTAACTCTGGGTCTTTGCTGTAGCCCATCCTTCGGCTGTGCACGTGTTCCAAACTTATCGACTATCCTTCATGTAACAAAAAAAATAAGGCACAATACCATGACTGGAACGATACACAAATAACCTGCACATAGAAGAGAGGAGCTTACGACAACGTTTCGGTCTGACTTGGACCATTTACAAAGCCTGTAACATCGTCGTAAGCTTCTCTCTTCTATGTGCCGGTTATTTGTGTATTCTTCACCTATCCTAATGTGGTAACCTCTGATTCTCCAGGGGCTCTTGATCCAAGAACTCGGAATGGCTCTCCTCTTCCTTGGATCGAACCTGAATGTCTCCCAGGCACTACATGGCCTCTGTGGGTTTAGTGCTTACCCATAATTCATATGTACGACCTTCCCTTCGAGGCTAATAAATACACTCACTCATGTACTGAATTATTTTGTTATGCTGTTGACCCTTGTGGGCTTAGTGCTTACCTAATCAGGGACTGCATGTGTATGATCTTCAGCACTGTATGACCCTTGTGGGTTTAGCACTTGTTTTTGATTGTAATAATAACAATTTATTGGGCCAACCAAAAATAATTTTTTGATTTGAAGTTTAGATTTACTCAGTTATAAATTATTATTAAAACAAAGCACTAAACCCACTAGGGTCTTGGTTATACGATAAATTTACTGCCTTTTTTTTATTTTGTCATATTGTATTTTCTACTGTATTTTATTTTCATCATATTGTATTTTTTTGTTTTCGTCGTATAGTATTTTCACTTTTTTTCTTCCTGTCATATTTTCTTTATTTTTTCTTCAATATCCACTAAGATTTTCCTGGAAAATTATTTTGCTTTTCGACTTATATAGTCTCCTGGGGAAACAAGTTAAAAAGTATTTTGGGATGAAAGAAACTTGTCGTTTTTATTTCACTTATTAATTCCAGTTATTTTTTAATTTCATTTTTATTAGTCTTTATTTTTTCAGCCTAACTGAAAACACAGTTTTATCCAGGAATATACCGTAGGATAAAGTGCTGGTACCTATTTACTGATGGGTGAATGGGGACCTGCCTGTACATCTTGCATCATACGAGTCAAATTTGGATCATTTTGGTTGCGATCCGAGGCCTCTACAGCGAGATCGGTGTCTCAAGTGATTACAGCCTCTCCTCACAGTATACATACTTAAATAAGGTATATAACAGCTAATTTCCTCTGTTTTGTTTATTACAATACAGTGGACCCTCGACTAACGCTATTAATCCGTTCCTGAGAGCTCATCGTTAGTCTAAGTTAATTTTCCCCATAAGAAATAATGGAAATCAAATTAATCCGTGCAAGACACCCAAAAGTATTGAAAAAAAAAAATTTAACACATGAAATATTAATTTTAATACACACAAACTGAAGAAGACATGCACAGTTACATGACACTTACCTTTATTGAAGATCTGGTGATGATTGATGGGATGGGAAGAGGGAAGTGTGTTGATGGTCTTAGTGTTTAGAAGGGGAATCCCCTTCCATTAGGACTTGAGGTGGCAAGTCCTTTTTCGGGGTTACTTCCCTTCTTCTTTTAATGCCACTAGGACCAGCTTGAGAGTCACTGGACCTCTGTCGCACAACAAAATCTGCCCATAGAGGCCTGTACTCCCGTTCCTTTATGACATTCCTAAAGTGTTTCACAACATTGTCAGTGTCACCATTAAACACTTGTTCAGGTTTCAGTCCTTCACTGTCTATGTACTCCTTGAATTTCCTGCACATATTTTTCAGCTGCTTTTTGGTCCAAACTGGCAGCCTCACCATGCCTTATCACACTATGTATGCCACTATGATTCTTAAATCTCTCAAACCAACCTTTGCTGGCCTTAAATTCACTCACATCACCACTAGTTGCTGGCATTTTTCTAATTAAATCGTCATGCAACTTCCTAGCCTTTTCACATATGATCGCTTGAGAGATGCTATCTCCTGCTATCTGTTTTTCGTTTGTCCATACCAATAACAGTCTCTCAACATCTTCTATCACTTGCGATCTCAGTTTCGAAAACATAGTTGCACCTTTGGCAAGAACAGCTTCCTTGATTGCCATTTTCTTGGCCACAATAGTAGCGATGCTTGATTGGGGTTTTGTGTACAGACTGGCCAGCTCGGAGACATGCACTCCACTTTCATACTTAGCAATGATCTCTTTCTTCATATCCATAATAATTCTCACCCTTTTTGCTGTAGGGTTGGCACTAGAAGCTTTCTTGGGGCCCATGGTGACTTATTTTGCAGGTGCAGTCACTAAAAAGGCTGTGATAATATGAAATGTTCCAATTGTATGCTTGGAAGCGACCGCGGTGGCTGGCTGGCTTGTAAACACTGGCCAGAAGTGGACGTGTCTCAGAGGGAAGGAATAGTGTTGGTCGAGTTTTTTAGCGCTAATCGAGGCAAAATTTTTGCGATAAAATGTATTGCTAGTCAGATTTATCGTTAATCGATGCCATCGCTGGTCGAGGGTCCACTGTATACAGTACACTACTGTATAAACATTTAAAATATACCAGAAATGTTATGAAGGTGACATTAAAACAATATCAAAGATGGTCGACACAAACCCACTACCATTATAGTATGATCCTCACTTAGCCATGAATTTGTTTACCAACGTGGTCTTAGGAACGCATCTCCATTGAGGAGGCTGTACTGTTGTAAAGTACAGAAAGGTATGTGTGCATTTCTGCCTAAAATGCACATGTACCTTTTCTGCATAGTAATTCCTCGACTTACAAAAATGTTGAGAATCTTGTTTATTGTGTATTAATTTTTTTAACACATTGGCCGAGGCAGAGTGACCCTAAAAGAAAAACCTTTCATCATCATTCTACACCACTCGTACATAATCATTGTCTTTGCAGAGGCACTCAGATACAGCAGTTTAGATGTCACTTCAAACTGTCAACAACCCGAACCTTTCCTTTAAAGTGAAGGCATTGTACTTCTCATTTCTAGGATTCAAGCCCGGCTAACCGCTTTTCCTGAATTCCTTCGCTAAACATTACTTTACTCACACTCCAACAGTTTGTCAAGTCCTAAAAACCATTCACTCCTGTCTAACACGCTCACTCATGCTTATTGTACATCGTCTTCTTTTAACCCCTTCAGGGTCCAAGGCCAAAATCTGAAGTGGTGCTCCAGTGTCCAAGAAATTTAAAAAAAAAAAAAAATTATTTTTTCTTACAGAATTAAAGAGCATATTTTTGTGAAGGTAATAAGACAAAAAAAAAAATTCTGATCAGTACTTACCGAGATACAGTGCCAAGAAGTTTGTCCAAAATGATGTGGTGGCGGCAACATCGACGAATTCCACATATGCGCATTATATTATTTAGCGGTTTTTATAGTTTTTTCTTTTCCTACTAACATTTGGGGCCTGAGAGACCAATACGGTATATAAACTCACTGTATTGAACACAATAACCGCACTAAAGTTATTATCATATTATTGTTTACCACTGTTGTTTATTACAATAAACATGCACAAATATTGTATAATACTAATGTTCTATCATATATTTACATATTTACAATCACTGGACATGGTTTTAGAACTGCTGGAGCTTGTGGAACTCCTTGAAACAAGGCACCATGCACAGAGGCACCTTACATTCCTCACACATAAACCGAGTGTCTTTGCGTCTTTGTTGCCGTCGTTTTGTTTGTGCACAGACGATGCATTTCTTCTGAGTTGAAGGAAGCTGTATTATGAAATGATCACCTTCCCTCCTCAAACGCTTGGGTATATTCTGAGGAATTCGAGGACCTTGTTGTATAACAGGTGTTGTTACCTGGTACTTCATTAT